TGACCAGGAGACGCAGAGACCCAGCTGGGATGACTCCCCTGGGAGCCGCTGGATCCTCCACCTCTTGACGGGGTTTAATGACGACTCGGTGTCTTTCTGGCCAGTGCTGGGTGACACACTAGCCCCTGTGCCAGAGCGGTGCTTTACTGAGGGCAGATTAGAGGCTCCAATGGGCCCTTCCGCCCCGAGTCTCCTAACTGATGAAGGACAGTGTGTGGAAGCCTTTGATGCGCTATGGGTAGCCTAATGGATCCACAGCCATCGCGTGGGGACAGCCCCAGGGAGCCGCTTCAACATTCAGGGGGCGCCAGCCACAGGGAGCCGCTTCAACATTCAGAGCAGCTGGCCAGGGCCAGGACAGTTGCCTAGCAGTGGAGGAGCGGGGGTGGCAGTGACATCACAAAGGTCTTTGGCAGGACCTCGGGTCGAAGCCGGTGGGGAGGCGGTGACCTCACAGAGAGACTCTGACGTCACCCAGGCAGGACAGAGGCAAGGGGCCAGAACAAGTTCAGAGACATAGACACTCCCCCTTGGCTTTGCTTCAGCACGTCTCCTTCTTGAAGTTTCTCCTTGAGGACCCAGAGAGCGTTCTAGTGCATTTATGTGAATACCAGGAAGAACTGACGAATTTTCTCCTTTCCCTTGCTTGATTTTCCCCGTTCAGAAGGTAAGAGTCTCCGAGAGATTTAGGACCCATTCAGGCTCATCCATCTGGTGTCTGCTGAATTCTAGGCATGGAAAAAACTAGATTGAAAAGGCAGAATTTTATTTCCCACCTAGGACTCGGTCTCTTAGAATCACTGGGGAAGTTGGAGTTTTTCATTTTTGGTTTCCCTTTTCCTCCATCCTTTCCTCCTTTTGTTGCTTCTTTTGCTTTTTCCTTGCTTCCCTCCCACTGCCAGCAGTGTGTGTGGGGGAAGGGGATTGGTCTCCCATTTTCATTGTGGGAAGGAGCAGCAACTCCCTAGGTTACTTCATACTGAAGGAATCCCTGGGTGGGGGTTGTCAGAAATGTGGGGTATGATCTTCCCGGGTCCCTGAGGTGGCAAGGTCATTAACTCTGCTCTACCCACTGTGCCGCCATCCTTCCCCTGAGTGGCAACAGGAGCCACTCTGTCCCTTCCCTCCCTGGTGCAGGGGCCGCCTGGGACTCAGAGGATAAAGAGAAGGAGAGGAATGGGTAGATGTGGCCACTGAGGAGACTGCTCTTTGAACATCCAAGAGATGCTCCAAGGCAGAGAAAAGGTACAAATATTCTCTTGCGGGGTGGGAACTGAGATTGTCTTGCCCCTGCCCAGCATTTCCACCCCCCGCAGAGGGGCATGTGCCTCATGAGCCACCTCTCACATGGACCTTTTTCCTCCATGATCAGGGACCCCTAAGATAGGATGTTTGTCACATCCTGGTGCTGGCTGTGTGATCTCACAGGGAAGTGTCAGCAGGATCCTAATCTGACAAACTCCTTGGTCTCTCACAGGAGCTGCCTGACGACCGTCCACCCATCACTGTCCTAGCCACCTTCCCCATGGCTGCTCCCATCTGGCTTCCTCCTCTGGTGTCACCCACGCTAGGAGTCACTGCCCCTCCCCCTCTTAGGTACCCTCCCAAGGGTGGAAGGGGTGGAAGGGGCAGGAAATTTCCCTCCTGGCTGGGCTCTTCTTTTTGTTCCAGCAATGTTCTGGGGGCTTTGGGGAGAGGCTCCCTCCAGAGGTCAGATACAGGAGAGCGGCAGAGTCCAGGGGAAGAGGCTCTATTCCTGCCCTGCCACTGTCTGGGAGGCCTTGCATTCCCTGACTCAGTGCCTCAGTTCCCATTTGTGCTACCCTGTGTCTGCCCCCCTGCCCAGGCTGGTGCCAGTCGCACCCCTGCACTGCACCGCCTAATATCAGCTCCTCTCCCTTGCCAGCACCAGGAGCCCGCCCTGGGGCCAGGCCCGGATGGACACTTCCCTCCAGGGGCATCACGTTACCCGCCTGGGGGTTTCCTTCCTTCCCGGCACAGGCCGTGTCCGTAGCAGCTTAG